CTGTACAGAGATTAGAGGACTGGGTGGAGACGCTGGCACGCCCTAAGGTTGGTTTAGGTCTTATTGAGGACAGAAGTACTTTGTGGAGATTGGAAATTTGTCTCAGATCATATGGCCCTGGACTGTTGAGTCCACAGGTGTCGATCTGGGACCTATTCTGTTTCAATTCTCTACATGCTGCCGTTAGGTCAGGTTAATAAGCAGAAACAAAGTTTCCTATCATAACTATGCAGACGGACACTCAGATATATGTTCAATGACTGTGGAGAACATGGACCAGTGGCTCACTCCTTCACTGTATCCAACAGTTCAGTGTATGTGGTGCAAAACACTTCCTGAGCTAAACGCAGACAATACTGAAATGATTGTCTTTGGGTCCCCAAACAAGAGGAGCGTCATACTGTCACCTCCAGTTCTCTCTCCCTATAACCTTCAAAAAGGGTCTGAAATCTAGGGGTAATACTGGACTCAGACTTAAATTTTATAGCCACATCAAATCAGTAACATCTAGCGCTTTTTACCTCTAAAAAACATTGCAGGATCAACTAACATAGTGTCTAAAGCAGGACTTGGAGTTCTTATTCCTTTGCATTTGTCTACAGTAGGTTTAGACTATGCAATGGCCTGTCACAGGTCTGTCCAAACAGGCTGTAAAAACAGCTGCAGTTACATTCAAATGCAGCAGCTCGAGTCCTGATAGAACCAGGAAGTACGGGACCATTATTAGTCGGTCTCAGGTCTCGCACTGGCTTCGGTTGGCTCAGAGAATAGACTTTAAAAAGTTGCTTGTGTACAAGTCTCTCCTTGGCCTCGACACCAAAATATATTAGTGACATTGTTAGTCCCATATGCACCAGCCGGTCTTGTGAGCACTGGGACTGGTCTCTGTTAGTGCCAGAGTCGAAACTAAACTGGGAGGCTGCTTTTCAGATTCATGCTGCTAAAATCTGAACTGTCTTCCTGGAGAGGTGAGACAGGCCTCTCTCTGACATGTTTAAAACCAGGTTAAAGACAGTTGGTTTAGCTGTGCATACAATGAGGGATTTTTTATTTGTATCATTCTTTTTAAGGTTCTGTGATTATTTATTTGATTTTAATTGTTTCTTGTTTTGTTCAGCACTTTGAATTGCTTGTGTATGAATTGTGCTAGTATATATTAAACTTGCCTTGACCTTGCACTTGACCTGCATTGCTAATGTATTTTGTGCATGGCCATTGGAGAGACTTGGACACAAGCAGAGCTGTTTTAAAATCTATTCTCTGTGCACAGGAAGCAGGCAGAGGACTGAGGCCCGGACTAATATGGTCATTCTTCCTGGTTCTGTCAGGACTTCAGCTGCCTGCATTTTGGATGTACTGCAGCTGATTACAGGTCTGTTGGGACAGACCTGTAAGCAGGCCATTGCAGTTGTTAGCTTGCTGGAGACAAATGCATGGACAAGAATCTCAAGTCTGCCTTTAGACACTATATTTCTAACTTTGCAATGTTCTTCAGATGGTTAAAAGATGTTGATGTTATTGATTTTATGTGGCTATTTGACAAATTTTGTGTCTGAGGCCAGATATTACCCCCTAATTTTGCCCTTGTCTGAAGGATGAGGGAGAGAGATGAAGTTGACAAATGACGGCCCTCTTCTTGTTTCTGGGGACCAAACAGACAATGATTTCGGTTACTTGTCTGCATTTAGTGACGGAAATTATTTTGCATCCAGTCACTGATCTGTTGGATACTGTGAAGGAGCAATCCAGTGGTCCCTGTTCTCCTGCAGTCAGTGAGACATAGATTGAGTGTCGTCGGAGTAATTGTGGTAGGACACTATGTTTTTTGTATTCACTGACCTAACGCAGCATAGTAGTGATTAAATAGGAAGAGGTCCCAGGAATCGACCTCGTGGTAATACACAGGATCAGGGCCACATGATCCGGACGCAGTCTCCAATCTCCACAAGTACTTCCTATCCCTCCAGGTAAGACCTAAACCAGTCTAGGGCTGTGCCAGTGTTACCAACACAGTACTCCAGTCTCTGCAGGAGGTATCATGCGTCGACAGTGTCGAACGCGGACTAAGATCTATCATGACCAAAACTGTGTCTTTAACTGCATCAGTGTGAAGTCGAATGTCGTTTGTTACCTTCACTAGTGCGGTCTCAGTGTGTGGTGAGGTCTATAACCAGACAGGAAATCTCAAAAGAATTATTCTTTGTTAAAAATTCAGTAAAGTTGTTGGATGCCACTTTTTCATGATTTTTTCCAATGACTGGAGATTCGATAAGGGGCGATAATTTTGAAGCCCGCAGGAATCCTGACTGCTCTTTTTTAGGGAGGTCTTATGACTGGCTGTTTTTTTAGGGCCATAGGAAATGTTCTGACGCCAGAGACATGTTTACTATTTGTGTAGTGAAAGGTAACAAACTGCTCAGGACGGACTTCAGAAATTTAGAGGGCAATATATCCAGGCTTACATTGGAGGAGCTAGAATCATGATTATCTTTTAGACAGTTTCAGTATCCACTGGTGCAATGAGAGTTAGCTCAATAAGCTTCTCCGGGCTGTTGCGATTGTTATACGTGCTGTGGAGGTGTTAGTGTTTTTGCATTCATTGTACTTTGTCATCGAAAAACTGTGAGAACTCATACACCTAGATTTAGAGGATAAGATTCTAGGGGCAACTTTACAGGGGGTTAGTTCATCTACAACTGTTGAAAATTACACGAAAATTGTTACTGCAACATCCAATAATGTCAGAAAAATTCATTTCTCTGGTTCTAGTAGAACCAGGGTTAAATTCACCCAACTCATCTTAAAGATTTCATAATCGCCTGAAATTGGACTTTCGCCACTTCCGTGCGGCCTCCGGCACTCTTGCTTCTGTGCCCTGACGAGTCTGCCTTAGTCCATGGGACTTTTTCCTATGGTAACTGGTTTTTACCGTACAGGAGCAATGGCGTCCAGAACAGTCAGAAAACCACTGTGTGGGTGACAGAGTTTTACAATTCATCACCAGTAGAGCATGGGTTTTCTCATAAAGTTAGCATTCCATGAACAGTTCACTTGTGTTTTCAATGTATGTGTTTCTTCGAACAATGTAAAAAAAAAAAAAAAAAAAAAAAAAAAAAAAAAAAATTCAGCTGGTGGTTTGCTAGCAAAAAAACATGTCAAAAAAATACACAGAAAATGATCTGACAAAGCAACATCAACTACATTAAAATTTGATACAATAACCCCTTTGTAATTAGCAGGTCAAGAGTGTGCCCCTGCTGTGGGTGGGGCCACTTACAGTGCTGAATGAAAACAAAGGTCTCAATACAGAAGCCAGCTCTTTGCATTTCTGTCTCAACATTTTCAACACTGTACATTTAAAATCACCTGTTATAACTAAAACTTTCATATCTGTGCACACGTATGAAAGTCGTTCTGTAAAATGTCAATAAAAATCGCAAACATGACTGTGGTGGCTGTACAGGACAATGAAAAGAGTAGAAGATTGCTTTTGTTCATTTGTAAAGGAAATTTTTTTACCCCTCAACGATGAAAAAATTTCCAAGGGCATTCTAGGGAGACAAAGTGCTCTCTAAAAACTGCAGCTATGCCTCCCCCTTTGTTTTCTCGTATTCGGATTCGAAGTTAAACTTGGGTGGTGTTGTTCTATTTGAACTGCATTTCCTGTAGTTTGGTCCAGCATTCTCCTGTATTTTGGTCCAGCCATGTTTCAGCCATATGCATAAAATATGGCTGAACATGGGCTGGACCAAAATACAGGAATTGGCTTGGACAAAATTCAGGAAATGCAGTTCTAATAGAAGCTATCTACACCAATTTTAAATTTCGAATCGAAATACGAGAAGAAAACAAGAAGGGGGGGAGGCATGAGCTGAGTTTTTAGAGAGCCCTTTGTCTCCCGAGATATGCCCTGGAAATTTTTAATCGTTTGAGTATATTCTTTACAATGGAACAAAAAGCAATCTTCTACTCTTTTCATGTCCTGTGTACAGGCCCACCACAGTCAATGGGTTTGCGATTTTATTGTGACCATTTTACTGAACTACTTTCATTCGTCTTGTTTGTGCACAGTTTTTGATAGTTTAGTTATTACAGGTGATTTTAATGGACTGTTGATACTGTGGATGACAGAATTGCAAAGGTGTGGCTTCTGTATTTTTGAGACCTTTGGTTTCATTCAGCACGTTAAGGGGCCCCACCCAACGCAGGTGGGCACACTCTTGCCTGCTAATTACAAAGGGGGATTAATGATCAAATGTTAATGTAGTTGATGTTGCTTTGTCAGGATCATTTCTGTGTATTTTTTGACATGTTGTTTTGCTTAGGCAAACCACCAGCTGGATTTTAACAATTGATTCGAAGAGAACATACATGAAAAACACAAGGTGAACTGTCTTGGGAATGCTAAATTTTGAGAAAATCCATGCTCTACGGTTGATGATTGGATAACTCTGTCCACCACAGTGTTCTGACTGTTTCTGGACGGCCATTGCCTGTGGACGGTTAAAACTGTTCCAGTAGGAAAAAGGCCCCATAGGACTAGGCCAGGGATCGGTCAGGGCACAGAAGAAGAGTATTCGGAGGGCGAACGGAAAGTGGCGATAAGTCCAATTTCCAGGGCGCCGCCCCCCCCCCCCCCCCCCCCGCAACATCCGCGCCGCCCGCCCCCCAGTCCGGAGCCCGCCCGCCCCCACCCCAACCAATGAAAAAGCACGAGCAGATTGTGCAACCCCCTACATCGCCCAGGCCTAAGTATTAGATGTACGATATACCTGACGGTCACCCCCGCTTCCCACTCCCGCTGGCCCCACGTCGCCTGCCCCGCCGCGCCAGTCCCCCTGCGCCACCCTCCGTCCTCCCCCCCCGCCCCCCCCCCCCCCCCCCCGCTCCCACGCCCCCACGCACACCCCTCCCCCCCCCTCTATCTCCCCCCCCGTCTCCCGTGGGGGAGCCAGAATCAACTTTCCAGTCACCTGAGCTTCCATCCGCCCCCCCCTAAGCCCCACCCCCCCGCCGCCGCTCCCGACCCCCACGCGACCCGTACCGACTCCCCGACGCAGCGAGCCAAAAATCGCCGGACCACCTCAACTACCGACACCGCGAGATACCCTGTCCCACCCCCAGAGCTACCCAGCTGAGAGCACCGAACGCAAAGTTCCCCTCACTCGACCCCCTGCCCCCGCTGCCACGACGCCACGCGGGGTGAAGGGTGGGGGGGGGGGGGGGGGGGGGGGGGGGGGGGGGGGGGGGGGGTGGGGGTGGTGGGGGGTGGGAAGTCACGCACTCGGCACGGGGGCTCCCCCCCCCCCCCGTCACAGAGCCCCGTCCCCCCGAGGCTGGGCGGTTGGGGACGACAGCCAGACATGTTCATAGCCTGAGACATCCCCCTTGAGAGGACGGCGGGTGACCGTGCTACCGGACGCAAGCCAGGAGACAGTCCGAGAGGTGACATGAAGTCGGTCTCAGCGGTATCGCCACCCTAGTCACGGAGAGTGCCAGACTAGGACACTCTGGCCCGCTTGCGCGCGCCAGAAGTCGCACAGGCGAGGTAGAATGGAGGTAGTGGGACCTCGCACCACCACCCCCCCCCGCCTCCTTTCGGCCGCCTATACCGACACAGCAGAGCAACAGAGGACGCCGCCGAGAGAGAGGAGGGTCACTGCACGTGCAGTCACAGCACTACTCCCCCAGACTCCCCTGCTCGCATACACCGAGGTCGCCGCCCCCGCTGGCCACGGCGCCACGCGCGGCACCTGAGTATTCCAGACCTGGCCGTGGGGTAGAATGATATTGGGAATTTAGTGCTGAATGGTTTTTGGGATCGGAGGGGTAGCGGTGACAGGTGTAGAGACGTGTGCTGAGGGGGGGGGGGAGGTAGCGGTTAGGTGATGTTAACAGGGTTGGGAGTTGCGTGGTATGACGGCCGTGGACAGGGGAGGAGAGGAGGACAGCGAGCGGAGGAAAGTAATTGCGAATGAATGTGAGGGGAGGGAAGGGTAAGGGGGGTGCGTAGGGAAGATAGAGAGGGATTAGGGGGGTGTGTCGGTATCTTATTGGGTGGGGGGCAGTATATGTAAGTGTAGGAAGCAAGTGAGAACCCGTGTGCTAGTGTAGGTGAGAAGGATAGGGAATACGAGATGAGGAATGTGAATAAGAGTGTTGTAAGGTGATCCCGTCCCAGCACTGGGTGAGTGTATTAGGTCCGTTGAAAAGAGGAAATTGGACAACGTGATTAGAAGGTTGGGCCTCAGAGTCACGGATGGGGAGGACCGGAGCGAGGTAGGGAGAAATGGTCATCTAGGTTTATGGCTCGTGAGGAGGAGGCGGTTGCGGCCCTGGCTCGCCTAGGCTGTTCTCTTTGGGGGGGGGGGTTAGGAGGTTCTCGCTCGTGGGGCAGGCACCTCTTCTGCTTTGTCTCTCGACGTGTGCCCCGTCTTTCCTGGCCTTCGTCTAACCTCCTGTTTGTTTTTTCCTTTCCCTCCCCCACCCCCGGCCTCATCTCCGTAGTTTTGTAGAGAAGGAGAGAAGGAGGAGGGGAGAAGTGGGTTTTGAGCGAGAGAGTAGGAGGAGAGTGGTATGGAAGGTAGTGACGCAGAGAGGCGTAGTGGAAGATGAAGATGGAGGGTCACGCTATGTACGATATCAGGTTGGGAGGTTGGCGCATATAGCAGGGTGTAAGGGGAAATGGTATTAGAGGCCTACGTGCGGCCGGTCTCTTGCCAGGCTGCGAAGACGAGTCGGCGCGCTACTTCCGTGCCCAGATCTGGCACCTTTCTTCTTGGCCGGTGACACTGGTCTCTGCTTGAGTTATACGTCCCCAAACACAATAGGTCCCCTCCTCTATATCAAACACGATAGTCCGTTTGTGCCCATAAGCCCTTCGTAGTATAGACGAAGATCGATACACTCAGAATGTATCCATTGCTCTATGTTGCTCCTAGGAGAATGTTAGTGCCATGTATTGTGATGGTGGGCACCACATATCATTGCTTAGTAGGGACGCTCATAGTAGAATAATATAAAGCTTACACCTGTGGGGTCTAAGAGTGGCATTGAAAGACTTACCAACCGGTAGGCAGTCCTCTTGTCCTATTCCGACTGGTGTTATAGTCCATATTTTGCCGATCTTTGCTTAGTTCTTGGCCTCTTAAACAAGTTGGTTGACAGTTTGACGAGCAATATTGAACGGCAGACATAGTTCAATGTCTTATGCTACTTAGAACTATCATAGTTATTACTTATTGCATCATGGTGAGCTTACGTTTGGATATATAAGAGAGGGTGAGAGAGTAGTACAAAGTACGTTCGTAGACTTGTTCAACTATAATATGCTAGGTGGAATCTACGAGAAAGTTAAGTGTCTTGCATAGTCTAGACAGTTTTGGAGAATAACCAAGAGAGGCAGTAGTACACTTTAACTGATCACCCCGCGCCTGCATCCCGTTGCATACAGTCTTCACCCCCGATTAGCTTGTAGCTTTTTGAGGTGTCATGCCTAGACAGACGGTAAGGCGAACCGAAAGCTTCACCTTTTTAAGACCAGAGCGCCAAGGACATAAGCTCGCACGATGATGAATATCGGAACAATGGAAGCGCATGGAAGATTTGTGTTGTTTAGAGAGTTGAAACACATAGATGGGAAGTGAAAGAGTTGTCGGAGAGTATATCGAGGGAAGGATTGGAAGCTGTCTGCAGGCGCGTTGATACTTGTTGTGTTTTGTTCTGACTAGTAGAACAGGCTCGAATTAGAGGAAGGCATGAGCACGTACTGAGATGCTAGGGCACTTACAAAGAAGCGAATAGAGCTCGTCACAGTTTCATCGCGTTCGGACAGACCCATAAGTCGATCGTTAACCGCTGTAAAGAACGGCAAACCGACCGAAGGAGGGTGGATGGGGATGTACTTACTGCTCCACTCACATTTGTCTATCTTGAGTGTGTACTTTTTTTGTAGTGTCACTGCCTCGTCATGAAAAGTAGGTTCGGAGTCTATGAACAAACTTTATACGCGATCGATGAAGACCTCCTGTGACTGATGAGGGCGTATTTTCGTTCGTGCTATTTCGGACTAGCTATTTTTCGCCCTCTACCTTCGCCCACCGACTCGAGTAGAAATAACTGGGCATATTCGATTAACCTCCCCGCGAAAAACTTGAGGTCAAGGCCACGTACTTACTCTAACACACATCAGGGACAGACCTCCGACTTGTCTGCAATGAGCATGTAGTTAGTTAGGAGGGCATTACACGACGACCAGACAAGCAGCAAAACTAAACCCAGGAGACTTTTATAACCTTACAAGAAATCAACACTCCAAGGTCGCATCCCTGACGGAGACGATCGAGCCAGAAGTAAGCGAGAGGCAGCCAGAAGGGAGGAAAGGGCTATGGGGAGCCCGCAGTCAGCCGTATATAACCGATTAGGGAGCGAGGCAGAGTCACAGTGTAGCGACGCCTCATCTTGACTATCAAGCCAAGCGAGATTACCAAGCACGGCCTGTCAACTTTCCTTAGAGACTAGAGCAAACCCAGAATGAGTGAGAGCAGAGAGACCGCAGGGACAAAGAGAAGAAGGGCAGAAGGAATCAGACAAAAAGAGAGAGAACAAGAGAGACGTACACCCAAGAGGAAGAGAGCAGCGCGTACGGACGGGCCCACACGCCCAGATAGGGAGCCCTTCCAGACAAGTACGCACAACAGCAACCCACCATGGGAGAGAAACTTACAAGAAATCGAGAAAGGAGATGTCTAGCGAACAAGAAGAGCGAGCTGGGACCTAAGACATCAGGACTCCACTCCGGAAGAGACTCTACGCCCTAGGCAGGAGTATGGCCGAGGGGAGCGCGTCACGAGTGAACGGGAAGGTTGATAAGGTATGCGCTTGAGGGCGGAGGAAGTCCGACCCCGGTTCCTGAGGAACCACCTCGCTGGTAGAGCAGAGGCTGACACGTGAGACCAACTCTCGAATGCGTAAAAGAGAGCGACCCGCACCACCCAACACCTGAAATGTAGATCACACGGCCTCATACACAAGGGAGTATGAGGTATAGCACCCATAGATAAACTGACACCAGAACTACATGAGCTCAGAGAGAGAGTAGAGGGAGTCTAGTTGGACGCCTAAGCTATAAATAAGGTGTGGTTAAGAATGGTGACTACCACTTCTTTTATGCAGGTCAGAGGACGCTGGTTGTCAGCAAAGTCTATCCCCTATACAGATCCGCACGTCTTTATCGAGCTAAATTGCTATGTCATCAAACGAGAGGGATAGTAAGATAGAGGGTGGTAAGACATACACCCCTCTTCACGGGAATTAGTTAGAATGGAAGAGTATGTCGCTCATCTAGATAATGTAGGCATGGACCGCACCCTAGAAGAGGACATCACGATACGCAGACTCGGAAGGAACTGAGCATGGATGCTACTTCCCCCGCGGTGTTATCCGGTGCTTCGCTCCGGTGACACGAAAAGTGGTTACGTTTCCTTGAGTAGGTACAGTCTAGCAGGATTGGGCATTCCACCTCCGCCAAAGACGCTGCGAGTTTTTGGATATGTCCATGAAGGGCGTCTATCTTGCGCTACGACCACCGCCATGTCTTCCGACCTAATGTTCAAGGCGTATCCTCTCGGCCCGTTAAAGTGCTGTCAGGTGAATAAGCCAGTAAGATGTTATGCTGGCCTTGGCCTTGTACTCTCAACATAAGAAGGGATCCACACGTCTTGCTGCTCACTGCCAAGCGAGCCTCTTCTGGTGTCCCCGCAGGTCTAGTTGTGGGTCTTCGTATGAGAGAGGAAGAAGACCCAGAGTGGGGAGGTTATAGGTTTGGCAGGGGGGGGGCGGGAGGGAGGGGTATTCGCAGGGAGTAGTGGAAGAGGAAAGCCCTTCTCGCAGGCGTGAAACCAAAGGAGAACCGCTTTAGGCAGACCAACAACTACTGCCTATGAGTCATGACGGAGCATCCTCAACAAGAAGAAGGACGAAGGCCGCTGAGAGAAGAACACACAGAGAAGAAAGGGGATGAGAAAGAAGAGGCGAGAGAGAGAAAGGGGAGGAACGCACCCCTGCGAATAGGAATCTGAGGGGGCGGGGAGGGAAGACCAAAGAACACAAGGACCGCCAAATGCCAACATGCAGAAGAAGTCATGGCGGACCCGCACAAACACCAAACAAACACCAGAGAAAAAAAAACCCACAAACCCAGACAGCATAGGACAAGAAGCGGGGGGAGGGGGGAAAAGGAGCTGTCGAGACCACCACACCCGTATCACACAGACAGTGAGCTAGAGGGCGATCTAGGGAGAGAGGAGCCAATGAGGACCAGCGAAGCTAACAACAAACAGACAACACCAACCCAGAGAGACAGGAAGAACAGGGTAGTAAGAGGGGACGGCAGTGCATGATACGATAGAGCTCACCACACACAACCAGAACTTGAGTTCCGCCATCAGCAGAGGGGCGTCGTCTTCGGAGCGAGTTTCGTGTCGCGCTACTAGTTTGCAATCACACTTAAAATCGTAACATCTCATCTGTGCGTCCTCTCTTCCCCCCTTCCGCTCCTTCTCACTCCTAGCTGTACAACCCGTTTTTGTTCGACTTGGTTGTGTCTCGATGTCTGCTTTGCTTGACTGTTGGTTGGTGTCATGGGTGCGCTTAATGCCTCAATGTTACCCTCCAGTTTCGAGCCGAGAGTCACTATTTAGGAGGTTGTTCTAGTACTGTTTCATTTCGGGTCCCTGGTTAGCATCGGCAGCCAGCCATAACCCAGGGGGGGTGGACCCCTTGCCCCCTCTTCCGCGGAGGAGGGAGAGCTCCGCTTTCGCCTGCGTGGGGGGGGGGACTTCGTGTGTTGCTCTTTGTATGCTGGAGTGGTGAAGTTTGGGGGCGAACGTCCACATAGAGGGTGGCGGGAGTCAGGGGGTACTGGGCATTCAGACGTGGGGGGGCGGTGTCCAATTTGCTCTCGTCCGCGAGTTCGGTGTGGGTGGGTGGGGGGTGGGGGGGGGTAGAAAGGGAGATGAGAAACGCGTCCAACGTCTAGATGAGGCAGGAGGGGGTGGGGGGGGGAAAAAAGGGTATCAGAAGCGTAGGCGGCGCCCTCTCTCCCTAGACGAGCGCCACGATTTTCCATATGTGTGCGTGGGGGGGGGGGGGGTAACAGAGAATGGTGGGGATGCCTAAGAGGCGACGGCCTAAGTGGGTCTTGGGGAATTTTTAGCGCGAGACAATAAGGAGCGTAGAAAGAGAGGATTAGCGCGGGACACGGGGCGGGAGTGGGCTGTGCCTCAGAAGCGCGGCAGAGGATTGCCACCACGGTTATAGATCAGTCCATAACACAGCCTTGTAGCAGAGAATAGAGTGGTAGCCGATAGTCTGATAGTTCGGATGTCTCAGCCTAATATTACTATCTCTAGCGTCCCTTAGCAATGGTACATATCACGAGCTCCAAGGATTACCGGGCGCAGCGTACACCTTTATGCTAGGTATATTGAACAGCATCTACCAAGAGCCTCCCTGCCAAACAGTAGAGCAGAGAGGCAAGGCAGCAGTGATTGGTGGACCAGTCGAGCATCGCCTAACGGACGACGGGTCGATCTCGCCCCCCCCGACATATGTGTTAACTGACACTTGGGGGTGTTCTGCGCGTCTGCTGCCCCACGCCCGCGCGCGCCGAAAAGCGCTCGGGCGCTCTGTAAAGAGAGCGCGAGTGGACGACTGGCTGCCACCGCGCCAACTCTGTTCCGGCCGTCAGTCTCCCCGCACCGGCGTTATGGGCCTGGGGGTTCCTTACTGATCCGCTACTCCCTGCCAATCAGCACGGGGGTATGACGCCGAGGGCCCGGAACCAGCAGACGGCTGGATAAGGCGCCCTACGCAAGGCTCGCGCATCACAAAATGTTGTCCTTTATGAGACGGCTCTGAAGCCTGCGCGTCGTTGTGTTGCTATTCGACCTCTACGCTATAGGTTCGCTCTCCTCCCAGGCGATCCTGGCTGGCACGCGTGAGTTTCTTGTCAGAGCCCGCGAGACTCCCTCCGTCCCTACCTCCCTCCTTTGAGCCTTAAGTGAGGCGGGTACTGTATTGCTCGTACGAAGAGTTTGGTCAGGCGAAGTCTGAACACCCTAGAGGCAAAATATTGAAATGCCACAGATTGATATGAAGATGAGTGGGGGGAGAGACCGACCAAACGCACAGGGATAAGAAGAAGAGCGAAAACAGAGCACCGCAGCCCCCACCCACAAGGTCCGAAAGAGGAGGAAAGCGGAGAGGCTACACACCGACGAGGCAGCAGCTACGAAAACTAAAGGCGCGTGGTTGGTGGACGAAGGGCGCCGGGAGGTTGGGAGGCGCTGGTCGAGTCAGGTTGGGCTACGATCGTCAGACGGTGGTTGTTCTTATAACGCGTCCTCGGGTATGCCTCCGCGTTCCCCCTCTCGCCCTCTACTCACTCTACTTAAACTAACCCGCCTCAATTGGGGCCCCACTATGCATTTTCTTGCTTATTATTGTTTCCCCAGGATTCTGCGTGCTCTGATCGCACCACAACCTCCCGACCCCCCCCTTACCACATCCCATCTACATTCTTTCGCAGTTAGCCTGAGTGCCGATCCCCGCCAGATTTGCGACTGGTCCACGGCCTCGCCGCTGGAGCGTCCTGTCTAGTTTCGCGTCCGGCGATGAGACCTAGAGCTTGGTCAGCCCCCCATCATAGATCGCCACTCATCCGTCTATTCGCTGCGAGCTCTCCCCGGCATCTGTCTCCGTCGATGCTTATCCGGTGCCTGGCTGGTTGTGACCCCCGTCCACAGTATCCACAGGGAGGAGTCCATGTTCTGACCACCCCCCCGACAGCGAGTGGGGAGGGGTGTCCTTTGGCCGCGCAATCAGACGAGGCTCAACCTGTCAGCCGGGTGCGACGCGCTGCGGGGGATGTCGCGGCACCCCGGCTTCGTGCTTTCGCGCGACGACCCATACGTCTCGCATAGCGTCGGGCCTCTCCGTTCCGTTGCTTTCTCCCTTCGTTCTTGAGTGTGGGTCATTAACCTCCTTTCGGGATCGCCTTAGCTCTACTGTGACGGAGGGTCGTAAGCCCTGATGCGGCGCGCCCGCTGCGACAATGTCACTCCCCAATCTAACTTTCCCACACCATAACACGGGGAGCCCCCACTGTCATACCAATAAACCCCAAGCGTAGACCAGGACAACCAGCGCCCTACACCCCCGAAACCAAGAATAAGCTCAGTCGTTCAGCCCCAGTCCTGTAGGGTATCCCGTAAACGTCCCTCGCTCCCAAAACGAAGTAACAACACGTTAACTTATCCCGACAAATTTTTTATTTAGAGCCAAACAGTTCCATAGGGGAGGAGGGTTGTCCGAGACTGTTTAAGGTTTATTTAGGTTGTTCCTTGAAATATCGCTGGATATCAGGTTATACGAGGGTAATTAAGGGAGTGTCTGAAGTATAGATGGAATGAATGGTTAGGTTTATAGGTGGTCAGATAAGACATGGTTTAAGGGTTAGGGATAAGGTAGGTTCAGAGTAAGATGGATTAGGTTATCACAAGGTGGGCTGAGATAAGCGTGGGTTAACGGTTTAGGGATTACGCGGTAGGACTTGAGTAAGATGGTTAGGGTTACGGGTTTAGACGGTGTGTCAGTTCTTAGAGGTGTCTCCTGAGTAAAGATCGCGGTTTCAGGTTTTAGGGATCGAGGTGGTCCAGAGGAAGATATCGGTATACTCAGGATTACGGATATTACAAGGAGGAGAGACTTCCGCAGGTTAACCTGTTTCTGGTACAGGATGTCAGCTTCTATAATTAGACGTTAAATTAATCCGATGGGCTCCATGAGTCAGATTGGTTCTTCAGGAAAAGTGTATACACCGCGAATGACAGTCCTGACAGCAGTAGCAAACCCGGGTTACGGTAAACTAGAATGTTCAGCGTACCAATGTAAACCCGGACCTTCCTTCGTGTATATAAAGGTGTTGACAGAGACAGCTAGGCCCACATAAAGGTAAGTGCGTATTATATACTATAGGTGAAGGACAGAATGTAAATGGTTAAGGGTATAGAGGTAAAAAGGGGTGGTACTGCGTCAGACTGGTTAAATGAAAGGGATAAAGGTGGACTGCGTACACCGATAAGGTATCAGTTTAGTGGCGTTAAGGTGTTCACGACACGCTAATGTACAGGGTTACGGGGATCCTGATGACATGCTGGACCGCATGGACATATCCTGGAACGGTGTAACCGTATACCGCATATCGCCTGGATACCTGAACTGTGTAAACCGGTTGTACATGACGACCGCATTATAACGGATATAGGGTATCCGGTGGTTTCAGTGCAGACCGCAAGGTTTTCCGGAACAGGTGTTATACAGGGGTCAGAGTAACCGAATTAACCTTATCGTTGTTAAGGTAGGGACAGCGTACACGATGAACCGGAAACTGTGGGGAATACAGGAGGACATCACAGCAGTAAAACCCAGGAACGTGGAACAGGAAGGACTAATTCGACCGTCGAGCGTGTACCCTGTAACGGGTATATATGGCTGGTACCAGCAAGTACGAGATCCAGGAACGGGTATACGTAGCCGTGAAGTGATTCCCAGCTTATATATTATATTAAAGCTGGACACAGATTTATATGTTTCTAAAGGGCAGCGGGTACTGAGTAAGATGGTTCCAGGCTTAAGGTGAGGAAACGTGTTGTTTACTCTGAGTAAGATGTGAGTATAGGAGATGTAATGGGGTAAAGGTGTCTGTCGTCGACCGTTACTGGGGAGTTCCGGTTAGGCGGGATAGGTGACTGAGTAAAGCAGTGTTTGTTAAGGGGTTAGTTTATAGTTGTGGGTATGGTAATAAATCTAAAATTAAAAAAAATAACCAAGCATACATATGCAAGTTTCAGAAGTCGGCCACAAGCATAATAAGTTTTAGTTAACCAAATACACAACGTGATTGACCATCTTTTAGTAACCCCCGTGCTCTTTCCTCGACTGGATTGTGCCGTCGCATGACTACACCTCAAATTTATCAGCTGTATCTTAATCGTGAGGGTTCTGCAGTTAGGTGAACTCACTTAGTGGCTTGCTTTCGCCTCTCCGGGCTCATTGGAGGCTCCAACTTAGAGAACTCTCCCTTTAGATAATTATCTTCCTGAACCCCTTCCTAGGTCCCTAAACTATACTAGTAAATGCCCCTTTTCGTCGTGTGAAAGCAACAGGCCGGGCGTGTGCTAACGTGGTCTTAATGTACCCCTAGCAGCAATCAATCCCCTTTTTTAAACGGCCCTCAGGCTAAATCGATTCCTGTTAAACGGCGCTCCCGCTTGGGCCACAGTCATCCTATCAAACTGTCCCCCGTGCCTTGTAAGTTCGCTGGGATCCTCGTCCTTATGGTGTGGGCATAACCCTAACGCCACACCTAGGGCTAATCTTTTAAAACCCAGCCGATAGGCTGAGCCTAATGTTAAAGTCAATTGGCGAAGGCGCCAATCAATGACTAGTTAGGGGCAGCTAAATCTATAACCCCCCTAGGCATGAGTTAACCTTCTTTAGGCCTGAGCCCCTAAGGCTAATCTTCACTCTTCCATACACTAACACTCGCCTAAACTGCCCCTTGAGGAGATATGAGTGCCCCTACATACTCCACCACCTAAGGGCTTGGAAATACCCAAAGATAAAATAACGGACACAGTGACGTCCTGGTCCGGGACTGCGCTATAGTTAGGGCGAATCCACCCTTAGTGCTAACCTCAGTATTCACGGCACAAGACCTACGGTGCCTTGCGAGCTTGGGCTAACTCTAGTTTCTCGCGTACCCCCCTGTCCCACCCCGCCCGCCCGGGACCTGTTTTGTTTTGGTTGCTCTGGACCCCCCACCTGTCCACCGCTCCTCCTGTCTTCCACGTTCTCTCCTTCTTCTACTTTTCGCCACCCCGTGTTGTGTGCCTAGGTGTCGTGGCTCCGTCCCGTCCTCGGCCGGGGCGGGATAGCCCACGCTCCCACTAGTTACCCCAGCCCCCGGGACCCTCGGCAGGACTCCCTTCAGACCTCTCCTTTTGCTTTATTTATTACTCTTCCCTCGTTCACCTATCGCGTTCTGCTCCCCTTTGTTTTTTTACCGGGGTTTTTTCTTCCTCTTGTTTGTTCTTTTTCTTTCTCTCTATTTTAGCTTTTTCTTATCTATCTACTTTTGTTGTGGTTCTTTTTTCTATCTTCTATCCCTCGCTTTACTCCTGTCTGCCTGTCTCGTTTCCCCTTGTTTTAGCTCTCTCTTTGTTTGTCTACTGTTGGTTTTCTCCCGAACGCACTCCATAGGCGCCCCCTCTTACCACTATCGCCCCCGCCCCTCTGCACGTTGTCTACCTCTGTCCACTAAAGTCATTGCTTGCGCCCTCACATCTTTCTGCACTCTCCCATGGCCAGATCCCACAACCCTGCCCACCCCCCGACCTCTCCCCATCCACCTCCGTCCCCGCTCTTTCCAACTCTCCTTCCTCGTACTACCTGCTCTCACCGTCCGTTCGGGGCCCTTCGCCTCTTCCGCCCCCCCACCCTCTACCTCTCTTCCCTTGTCCCTTCCCTCCCAGCTTCTTTCCTGGCTAATCATCCCTTTCTCACAACTATATTACTGCACTCCTCCCCCTTCGGGCACGGCTCCCGTCCGCTATCTCCGTCACTCCAGTGTCCCCCCTTTCCTTTTCCTTCTCCCTCCCCCCCCTCGCCTCCCCCACACCTCCCCAGCCTCTTATCCCTCTCCCCCCCTTTTCCCTCCACTGTGCAACCCCCTTATCTACCGTCGCTCTCCCTCCCCTACTCCACGGAGAGCGCGCCCATCCCCCGTCCTACCGGCGCGTACCGGACGCCCCCCCCACCCGGTGGGGCGTTTCCTCGCAGAACTCCACTCCCACTAACTGTGTACTTCCCCGCACCACTCCCATCCCTAAGTTCCTCCATCCCCTATTCGCCCTACCGGCTTCTCTCCCCCAGACTCATCCTCCGCCCACCCCTACGTTCCTTCTCTGCGCTCTCCATCCCGCGCTATCCCGGCCCTCATCTCCGGCTCCGAGCACTTTCTTCTCTTATCTCTGTTTGGCTCACGCTCCCCTCTCTTCTCTCCTTCTCCGAAGGCGTTATTTTTCTTCTTCTATCTACGCCCCCCTCCCTCTCATCTTTATGCCCCCTGGAGCACACCTCTTTTCGCTCCTTTTTTGCCTCTTCTGCTACACTCTCTTCTCCTGTTGTGGTTCCCTCTTGGGTCTCTTCTTTCCTCATCTGCTCCCTCCCCTCTCTCCCCTTGTTTGTCCATCTTTCCCCCCTCCCTCCCTCTTATTTCTCCTTGTCCTCTTCTCCTTTCTTCCTCCTTTCCTTCTTTCGCCCGTTCCGCTCCTCCGCTACCCCTCTCTTTTCACGCCCCACTGCTCCCGTTTCTTTTCTCACCGCTCTTCTTGTCCCCCCCCTCCTCCGCCATCCTGCCCCACTTAACTAACGTTCCGCCCTATCTCCCTGCCCTTCTCGCTTTTGATCCATCCTCCCTCCCCCCTCGCCCCACCTTCGTCTTCCCCCTTAGCCCGTTGCCATCTTCGCCACTCATATCCTCCCTTTTCCACCATCTTCTTTGACCCCTCGTTCCCTTTCAACCGTGCTCTTCTAGTCTTGCATTTATATTCCTCGTTTCTCTATCTCCTCTCGATTCTTCGCTTTCTACGTTCTGCGCCGTCTTGCCTCCTCGAAACCCCGTCTTTGCTCGTGCACTGCGTGGTACCTCACCTTATTGCCTCCCGCCTACTCCCACCCCGCTTACCCCCGCCTCCCCCTCCCAACTTTAGCCTATTGTATCGGCGGCCTTGTCTTCCTCAAGTCCCATCTTCTCTCTTACGTCTTAGTGGGGTGGGAGCAATTGCCACTTACTTTCGACATTTCATTCGTCTTCTCTCACCCGCTACTCCCACCCCCCCGCCCTGCCGTGTTCTTTCCGTTCCGACTCGCCAGTGTTATTCGCTTTACTGCTCATTCTTCCCTCTGGCCTCCCCTAGCCCCCGCCCTCTCTGCTCCCCTCCCTCCGTCCCTCCGCCTCTCCTACCTCTCCGTGTACACACCCCATCTCCCAATGCATACTCTAATTTTGTCTCCCTACGCTTCCCGTCCTCTAACGCTCATCCTTCCGCCGCAGGAACGACGCCGTTCCGACCCTCCCCTGTCCTGCTTCCCTCAATGTACCCGGCGCTCGTCCCTGCCGCACGCTGATCCCCCACGCACCCTCTCTGTGCACACCTCTCCGGAGTGGTCCACCACCCTCTCAATCACGCGCTCGGTCATCCTTCCCTCACAATAGCAGCCTGCCTGGTGCATCCTGTTTTTCTGTCTTTCCCCCTGGATATCCCATCCTCCGGCAGCTTCCCCCTTACACCACTATTTTGTGGACACCAGCTTTGTCCTAGTTCCGGCCTGCTTCCCCTTCCTCGTCGGCTCGTCCCATTCTTCCTCCTGTACTATTTCCGCCCCTTATGCTCTTTTCCTTCCCTCGTTCCTCCGCCGCCCCCCAGCTCTCGTCCTCCGTTGACGTCGCTTGTTTTGTGTCTTCTTTGCTCTACCCGCTTCTATTTTCCGCCCCTACTCTGGATGCCGACTGACTCCTCCTGTTGCCCCAACGCTGTCTTCGATTCCGTGGTCCCAACCCTTCGATACCCTGGTCAATCATAATCTCGTCCTTCTGTACACTCCTACTTATCCCCTGGACTCTTGTTTGCACTACACCACATCCCCTCTGCCCTGACTTCACTCTCGCTCCCCTTCAGGGCTTTTCCTTCGTTGGGTTGCGTCGCTAATCTGATTCGTATCTATAATCCGTTTCGCTCCTGCACGCACTCTCTCTCTGTTCTTAGGTGCCACCTTTTTGAGCGTCCTGATCAGTCGGCCCTTCTGTTCCTGCTCATTGCTCGCCCCGCTCCACACCGTGCTCTCCATCGGCGGGTAATGATCCTCTCTCCTTGTTACTCATGATGCACTCCGTCGCCCTTGTCTTTCTCCTTCCTGTATTTGCTGTCTTTTCTTTATCATATCTGAGCTTTGTATTTAACCTTAAAAGTCTTTTCCATCAATTCCCGCCTATCCCTGCGCCACCACCCCTTTTATTTGGTCTCGGCCGTCTGGTTTCTTCTTTTGTGTCTTGTTTCGGCAGGGCTTCCCTTCCCCCCCCCCACCACCCCCATCCCACTGCCCAACGACTGCTTTTCTTGCATTGTGTGGCTCTTTTGCGCTTTTTCGTTCGAAACCTCCTATTGATCCGCCTTTTGCCCCTCTGTTATCCTTTGTTTTATGTTCTATTTGTGTTTTTTATGTTTCCGTTTCCCTTATAGGTTTGTTGTCTTTGCGTCGTATTCTTGACCATTGCCTTTTACCGCGTTTCCGATGCTGGTTATTTATTGTTAATACACTGTTCCCGCCCATATAACTCCTCACCTACACTAGGTGGTGTAATTGTGTCTTGTGACTATGAGGACAAGTATACTAATTCGCTGTTAAGTAACCAACAACAACCTAGCTTTGATCTATAAATCAGGTGTGCTGGGGCGTATGGTGCACGCTCCCACTTGCGTCGCGTAGATAACCGCCCTGCTATGACTGCTCTGTCAGGACATTTGCATGTGCGTTGATTGTGGACAGTCGTGGCATTGCTAGCGTAGAGACTTTTTCTCTTCTACAATCATTGAGTCAAGTAATTTTGTGCATCGTTTTATAACACTAACTTACCGAATTAACTCGGGTATCCCATCTCCCCTTCTTACCTGGACGCACAACCCATTTAGCCCCCTCACTTTTAGGCCACTCATCTTCCCGCCCTATAGCAACCTCTTATCTGTTCTTTTGTTCAATATTATCACTTTCTTGATGTTACTGAGTATACATTCCACACCTCATCTCCAAGCTACACGCTGTCTACCCTTACCTCATCCCTCATCCTGCATAATATCTTGTCCTGTTTTCTGACCTCCCGAAACCGCCTTCGTGCCTACATCTTAATCCCCGATGCTATATCCCTTATTTATTTTTATAGGCCTCTACTTGACCCTTGTCCCGCACCGGACACCAACTCTAAAAACCCCCTTTACGGTGTCTTTCGTACTTCCTGTGTGCTAAACAACTTCCGTCCCACGAAGCGGCGGCGTTTTGTCCTACCATCTTTGTAGAGTTGTCGTTTGAACAAGCTCTATCTTGAAGAGTGTGTGAATGACCCACCCTGCCATAGCCTCATCAGAAAATATCGCGCGGCGATAAAGAATACATTGCCACATATAGCTAAAGCAACCACAGGCTCACATCCCCCTTTCCCTTATCTCCTTAAAGAATAAACATAAACACACCCAACAAAATTAACGTAAAATGGAATTATCAATCTTTAACCGATGAACTGCCCCTCCCTCTGCTACTTCCCTTTAAGGCAAGCATTACATAAAAACAAAACACGAATTTTTCCAAGCATTCCTTAACCTTCCTACGCTCTATCTAACATTCACGGCTTCACTTACCTATCGACCCGATACTAACTACACCCAGCTGTTCATATCCATTCTTCCAATCCACACCCCCCGCGACTCCACCCCCCCCCCCCCCCCCCCCCCCCCTCCCACCCCCCACCCCCCGGCCTCATCCGCCCCCCCCACTAACCCATCATCACGCCTCTCCCCACCCCCCCCCCCCTCTCACCCCCCAACCCCACCCGCTCCTCCCCACCGTCTCCGGGCCTACCAACCCCACCACCCCCTGCCCGCCGGCCTCATCCCTCACCCCCCCCCGCTCACCCCCAACATTCCCCTATAGGCCTAATAGGGCCCCTCCCACACACCTTCCTAGAGGGCTAAACTCTTTAAAAACTTAAACCCCCCTAGGGGCTAATCCTTAACACTTTAAAAAACTCCCCAAACAAAACCCGCCCCGTAGGTCACATACATAACCCTCTCGGGCTAGAAACCCCGTAGTACCGGCATAAACCACCCCCCCCCGTACCTCCGCCCCTCCCAATCTTCCCCTCCTGTCAGCCGCTTACTCATCTAAGGACGTATGAAAACCACTCCCACCCTCCCCAAATCACAGTTCTAACCTCTTATTCTGACCGTCTGCCTCCCCCCTCCACTTCCGCTTCTCTCTCCGTCGTCTGTGCATCCTCCTTCTTCACGGGCTTGTGTGCCAGTGCAATGACTTGCCTCAACACCCGTTACCCTTGGCAAACTGCTCCCACTCCCCTCCCACAGCTCCTTCGCCGCCCGTAACTCACCGAATTCACCCAACGCCCTTCCCCACGACGGCTACCACCCCCCACACAACCAATCCCCCCTCCTTCTCCTTCCCCACTTCCCTCACTCAATCTTCTATCCACCCCCCTCCACGGCACTTCCATCATCGTTTTTCCACACCCGTTCCCACGTTTGCTCTCCTCACACTCCCGCACCACCCTCCCCCTACGGCACCATCTACAGCCCCCCACCGCTATATTCTATCCGGACTCCTACACTACATGACTAAGTGCTAACAAGTACTACACAAAACCAACTCAATCAATATTCTCAACCTTAATACACACGTACCCGCAACGGCTAATCAATACAATACAAAAAAAACCACCCCACCGCTCCCTTCGACCCCCAGCGCACCGCACCGTCGCCACGGACAACCCCCCCCCTTCCCCATGGAGCAGCCCAACACACGTCCTCCACCCTTACAGTCCCTGTGCCCACATTCCCCTAACCTATCTATTAGAAGCTTTGAAAAAACACTAAACTCATCTCCACGCAAAAAACGTCCAACTACTCTCCTACCTCCATCTCAGGCTGCATTCTATAAAAAAAACTTAACCCCAAACCCCCCTTCCCATAAGCGCTTACTCTTTTGGAACATCCTTGCCTAAACGCCCCTAGGCTAGGCTAGGCTAATCTTAACCCCTGAGGCTAATCTTAACCCCTAGGCTAATCTTAACCCCTAGGCTAATCTAATCTTAACCCCTAGGCTAATCTTAACCCCTAGGCTAATCTTAACCCCTAGGCTAATCCTAACCCCTAGGCTAATCTTAACCCCTAGGCTAATCCTAACCCCTAGGCTAATCTTAACCCATAGGCTAATCTTAACCCATAGGCCTGTGTGTGTGTGAGTGTGTTTGTGTGTGTGAGTGTGTTTGTCTGCCTGTGTGTGTGTGTGTGTGATTGTGTGTGTGAGTGTGTTTGTGTTTGTGTGTGTGAGTGTTTGTCTGCCTGTGTGTGTGTGAGTGTGTTTGTGTGTGTGAGTGTGTTTGTCTGCCTGTGTGTGTGTGTGTGTGAGTGTGTTTGTCTGCCTGTGTGTGTGTGTGTGTGAGTGTGTGTGTCTGCCTGTGTGTGTGTGTGTGTGTGTTTGTCTGCACAAGCTTTTTAAGCATTTGTGTTTTGGTTTTATTGTTTTTATGTTGTATATTGTTTCTTGTCTATAGTTGCATTTTGAAATAACGTTTGTAATGAAAAAAATAAAAAGGTACTTGTACATAATAATAATGACGCAGTGGCACCAAACCAACACACTGTCACACACATGTACACACACAAACACACATGTACAGACACAAACACACACACACATGTACAGACACACACACACACACACATGTACACACACAAACACACATGTACAGACAAAAACACACACACACATGTACAGACGCACACACCCTCACACATGTACAGACACACACACCCTCACACACGCACAGACACACACACACACACACATGTACAGACACACACACACACACACACCCACACATGTACAGACATGCACAGACACCCTCACATGTACAGACACACACACACACACACACACACACATGTACAGACTCACACACACATACACCCACACATGTACAGACATGTACAGACACACACACACATGTACAGACACACACACACATGTACAGACACACACACACATGTACAGACACACACACACATGTACAGACACACACACACATGTACAGACACACACACACACACATGTACAGACTCACACACACACACACACATGTACAGACACACACACACACGTACAGACACACACACACACACACACATGTACAGACTCACACACACATACACCCACACATGTACAGACATGCACAGACACCCTCACATGTACAGACACACACACACACACACACACACACACACACATGTACAGACACACACACACAGTTCCTCCTCTGCCACTGCAGTCAGCACACACCCTCACATGTACAGACACACACACACACACACATGTACAGACACACACACACACACACATGTACAGACACACACACACACACACATGTACAGA